TTTACATTACCTGGTCCCTGGATATGGATAAATTTACATTACCTGGTCCCTGGATATGGATAAAATGTGAAATAGCTATCCTCTGGATATGGAGAAATTTAAATGCGCACGAGTATGCACACACGTACGTTAGCTGGCCAGCAGTATGGAAGTGTCCGTCGACATTGAGGCCCATCTAGCCCTAAACATGAATACTTGTTCTTTTAATTGTTGTCCCACTGGTATTGATTCATGTATGTTAACTGGAATATGTAGAGTGGCCCGGAATATGTATACCCATATATATATTAACTGGTCCCAAATATGGATAAACGTATGAGAGCTGGTCTCTATATACATCTTCAAAGAGAAGAGTATTATTATTGAACATATCCATCAATTTAGAGCAGACGATTACACAAGTTTTAGCCGAGTTGTTCAGAAAATGCTGTTCGAACTTTATGATAATGAAGTCTTGAAATTTTGCAGTTTAAGCAATTTAGAAGTAAAATATAATTATTTCTAGGCCCATGCTCGATCGTCATTAAGGAAACGGTAAATTCAAACCAGGCAGTGTCCGAAAAATCAGGTGTAGTGATGAGCTGTGCAACCAAATAAAAATTGTACGAATCTAAATCAAAATAAAATATTTTGTTATCAACGCTGACCAGCAATTAAACCTATACAAATGTAATTTATATAGTATCTCGTCACAGGACAACGCCCTCTAGTGTTGAATGTGTTCATTGAAATTAATACCCACCTGCAGCGGCGCTATTCATATACTGTAAATACAAGCTTGAGGTCGCATAAGTACCGGCGAATGAAATTTCATTTATATTCAAAATAAATTTGGCAAGAAATGGCATACTATTTCAAACTTTTATTTAAGGAAGGTGTGACTAACCAGTAAAATAAGGAAAATTTAAAAACATTACAAATGCTGAATATTTTGCTGAGAAAAAAGGTTCCATTAAAGGACGGCAGTCGTCGTGCCGCGTCCTGTTCGATATGGGACTCATAGCGACGTATACAACGCGTGTAAAATACATTGTTTATTTACATGAAATTCGAACACGCGCTGCGCGACGAACACCACGCTTTAAATAAATGACAAATAAGCGAACGAATAATAGTAATACCAGACCTTGTTTTCATGGAAAGTTTATTACATTACCATCGCATTGAGTCCTACCAGTACAATACTACAGTGGCCATTCAAAAACCAATTAAGGCGAAGTAGAAGTTTTTTTTGTTTTTTTTTGATGTTGTTCACTTGCATTTAATTTCATGATTTTGATGTTTTGAGCAATATCACTGATATTAAGTTCGTAAACTTGGCAGGAAAATAATTATTTCTATTGTTATTGTACATGTTCATGTGGTATTAATTTAAGGGATTGTACTTATTGACACAATTGTAAACCAGCAAATATTTAATGTGTTTACAGTACTTTAGATTTCAGAATACTGTGTCAGTGTCAATAGTGGTATTATCCTAATCAGGGCAACCTACAAGCCTTAGAATTCTAAGTGGTATTTTAAAGAACCCAAATCGATATATAAAAAATAACATATTATATCACAGGGATCACACAGCTGAGTTATTCTTTTCCATCAATTAGATCAATTCAGGCTCAGACACTAAATAGTAGCCAGAGATTCAGGCTTATACTGTCCACTCAACAAACCATTTACCCTCATGTTTATACATGAGTGCAGTGTACAACAACATCTTTTGAAAATGTTATTCCATATTTAGGCGTGTTTCTGAGTGCTAAATAATACATGCATGTTGGATTGCAATTTTGAGAGGGGGGTAAGGCCAAAAAAAAATTGTTTTGTTGCCCTCAGCGATCGATCGAAAAATATGTAACAACGGGTCGCGTGTTTTTTTTTCCATATACCTCGGCTATTTAAAATACCCTTAGTTTTCACGGAAACAAATCTGACTGATCGACCCAATTTTTTTAATTTACCGACTTGAGGGCAACATAAGTTGTTTTTTTTGGTCTAATGGTTTTGTTTCCATTTGAATTAGGGTTCAGCCATTTAAAATTATGGGGATGGCTAGAAAACTGACCATTTTTTTTATATTTTCCTATTGGCACATTCTAAGTTTCCTTGAAAGTACCAACATTTTGTTCAATTTTTGTTCAACAATTGTATTTTGTCCAAGTCTAGTTTGCAACAAATCTTCCACCCCCCCCCCACCTCATGATTTCAAATTTGTCACTACTTATAACTTAAAAATACTTATGCAAATGAAGGGAATGGGTTGTGTTCTGTGATAATATTGTTGGTCTTGTTTTGAACACCATCATTTATCACATGATTATTTTGGTGCAATATTTCTACAATTTTTCAATTAATTTTAAACAAATAGCCATAATTTCCAGAGGGTCACATGCCTTAATCATTTTCTTTTCCAAAACAATATGGAAAATCATTAATGTGTTTAAGTTGACCTCCAGAAATGAATATTTTCTTGGGATTCTAATTTTGCTGCTTACCAGTCATATGTAAATTAGCTCATTAGTATGCCAGGAACCAGGAAAACTAGGAGAGCTATAAATCTAGCACTGAAACCTCCAGATGATGCTGTAACTTTAAACTCGTCTACGGAGAATATAAGAATTAAAGTGCCTGTGCAATGCCCACCCTCACGTTTCCCATTTTAGATCTGTATCCCACTAAAATGGGCAGTTATTGATTTTTTTGCTGAAAATGATTACTCGTATCCAAGTAAATTTGGGATATTTCTCGTGTTGTAGCCACGCCCACCTATCGTGAAACGGTCGACTGTTTCTGGATTTCCGACTCTCGCCGAAAGTGCGCCACCATATGACAAAATGTGAGAGGAAGTCATACCCCTGAGCCGTAATAACACTGGTCATTCAGTATACTTTTAAACGATATACATACATTTTTGGAAAAACTGTCCTCACCATGAAAAAAAGCGACTAGGTTTAAAGAAAAACGCCGACAACGTAAACCTGGCGCAACACTTTTGAAAGAAATAGATTCCGGACCAGCCCATGATCACTGAGGCGGATTTCAGAAGAGAGGGAGACGTCCGGCAAGTGTTTCAAATCAGTTTTTATAGAGACCATTTAGTCCCTGTTAAGTAAAAGGTAGCAATAATTTTGACAGTGACACGAAAACGAAGCGTCCGACTAACAGGAAATTACACAGCCCTTACACACTGCTAATTGTTTTCATTTTCGATGGCTAAAAGTTTCTGAATTGTTTGGTGATTGGTGTTGAATGTCGAATTCACACCTCTGTTCTTTTTTTTACCTCCATGCTTGCAGCTTGATCTGGGTCATAATTTATGAAATAAGAATCCGGGCTTGGTCAATGTGTTTCCACCAAATAAAGTTTTAATAAGATGTTATAATTAAGACAATCACGCCATGGATCACGCTAACTCGAATCCACTCTGAATTTATCTGTATGTGTGTCGATCATGATTATTTTTGTTATCCAATTAAACGCCGCTTTTAACGCACTTGCCCTCGCTGTGACCCGACGTGTTCACCTACTTCAACAAAATGTCAATTTATTTCCACGCGACTGTCATTTATTTAGCAACTGTGATTTGTCGATTTTTTAATTATTTTATAGTGATCACTATAGTCTAATGTCAAAATATGTTCTCTTTTATTTTGATTTTGAAAGTTTTAATAAAACAGTGTAGTGACGTGCCTAGTAACCTGCTAAATAACGAGATAATTCCAACGTCAAATTCTATTTTGTCCAGCGACAGTGTACAAACGTGCGTCGGTGTCGGTGACGATCACGGTGACCAGCTACACCCGAATGGACATATTTTTGCATCTAACTCAACCCCATGCAACAAAAATTGATACTATGTGTTAATTATGGTCCATTCTTCCTCGACGACGTCAAAGACGAGAAAACTGCACAAGAAATATGCCTTATTTACACGTATCGGTAATGCAAGCTGCCATGCGACTTCCCCTTCTGACGTCACAAGGGAAATTTCTGTATGCAAATGAGAAGCTAACGAGGAGCCTCGTTTTAAAATACACAAAAATAAAGTTGCCATAAACTGAGTTTACAACACATTTTTTCACTTAAAAAATTAATTCATGCTTAGAAACATGAAAATTAATAATATTTATGTATCAATGGATAATTTTAGGCGTGAAAATAGCAGCCATTTCACAGGCACTTTAATGTCATTTAATTTAATGTAACCGTACAAGTGAAACCAATTTAAGTGACTTGATAAAGTGGCAATAACTATAACTATCAATCTTTATTTTTAATAAAACATTAATTTTCCTGTATCACTAATGCCAATTTTAACGGCTATTGTCAAAATGTAAACTGAAAGCATAGCATGTATGCTATATTCAGATGTTGTACATTAAACCACTTAAAATGACCACAGGGTTGTGTCCAGGTCCAGAGTGTGCTATCTAGATATTTCACAATTTGTGACATATTTATTGGGCCCTGGAGTTAGTCTTTTATCATTTCAAATACACAAAGCTGCAGCATAAATTCTAGCGTCCCATATAAATTAGGGTATTGTCCAATAACAAAACTGTATTCATGGCACTGGTACACTGCTATAAAATAATAAAAAGGTTATTGCGAGGGAACCGAAAAGTATGCATAAAGACAGTACAGCGGGAGTATCGACCAACACGCAGCGGAGAACGATGCAGTCATGTACTGTCTGAGTTCATACTTTTCGATATCCTCGTAATAACCTTATTAATTATTATACATCTTTTTCTCTCAAAGATACATCATGCATCATAGGAATGCCAAAATACAAAAAGGTTTTGAACAGATGGAGTGAACTTTTTTGTATGGGGTCCGGTCAAAACCTGGGGGCTGTCATGTTTGTTTTTATTATTAGAGAGGATGCTTATGTGCATAATCGTTCCATATATGGAATTCGCATTTCCTAATATGGTAGGACAAAAATAATCTGTGCAATACTGCAAAATAGAACATGCGGTAATTTATGGCGTTACAGTGTCAGATGTATAATAATATGTAATATTTATTTGATATAGTAAAATATTGTATTATATAATATGGAAAATACATCGAATAGTTTTTTCTTGCTGAGGTGAGTTTATTATCTTCTTGTAAACCCCATGGTAGGGATTCTGTGAGAATGAAATTTGAGGTTAAACATAATTTGCATCTTCTTCTGAGTGCTAATAAATACATGCATGTTGATTTGTAATTTTTTGGGGGTAATGGTTTTGTGTCCAACTTGTTTGTTGAAGTACTGGTATATTAACATCCATTGTCACATGCCTTGAATTATCATTGAACCTTATAAAATGAGGTTCTTAGGGGAAATCCAAAACATTTATCATAATGTAGTCAAATATAGTCAATACAGTTAAATAAATTATTCATGAATGCCTAAATATAGTCAAAATTACAGAAAATATTCATGGAAGCCAAATATGGACAACAGTTACAGAAATTATTCATGGATACCCCAAAAATGGTCAACAGTTCCAGAAATTATTCATGGATGCCCAAATATGGTCAAAAATTACATAAATTATTCATGGATGCCTAAATATTGGCAAAATTACAGAAAATATTCATGGAAGCCAAATATGGACAACAGTTACAGAAATTATTCATGGATACCTAAATATGGACAAAGATTACAGAAATTATTTATGGATGCCTAAATATAGTCAACAGTGACAGAAATTATTCAAGGATGCCCAAATATGGTCAACTGTTATACAGACATCAATACTTGTATGTTGCGTTAAATCTCTGTTTAAGGTAAACATCATTTGTGATTGGTGGATACTTGTCACTACCATCAACACACTTGACAACAAATGAATTATCCGGATGTGAGAAGTAGGCCAGAGATTGGCGATGTGATCGCTTCAACTCTTCTGTCTTTGGCATTATAACTCGATGGATCTAGAAAATAAGAAGAGAAAATTAATAATACAACAAAACTGACAAGCCTAGAATTGTTTTTTCCAACAAGTAGAATCAATAGCAGCTTGATTAAAGCGGAGGGGTCATCACCTGCGCACGTGCGGGAATTGAGTCCCAAGCGACGATAACAATACACGCTAAAAAACGCAAAGACTCATGGGTAGATGCTTGTTTGTAAACAATGACACGCTATGGCCATCTGACACATGCGCAGGTGACGACTCCCCCGCTTTAACTGAGAGTTATACATGTAGTTGGACATGCACTCAAGTTTCTACTTGAATACTACACTGGTTATATTACACAGTTACAAGCTGCTCTCTGATTGGTCTGATTGTAAAACGCTTGGGTTGAGTAGCCAATCAGGGACAATCTTGCAAGTAGCTTTGCATTGACTCCACAGTTATAGCCTAGTACGCTGAAGAAGTTTGTAATCACACGATAAAGATCAAAATCAGGTCTGAAATCCACTGCCTGAACGAATAATGTTTCCCCTCTATATTGTTAGGTGGAACAACCATGGAGAAAATAGGGTAATATTTGTTATTCATGTTTTCGTGAATTTTACTGTAGTTGAGTGGAACTTACAGTAGAAATGAATTTATCAGCTGTCCATCTTTGCATAATGTCTGCTACATTCATAACTATACTGCCCTCTATAGGTGGAACATCAACAAAACTGCCATCTTGACATTGAACCTGGAGAAATAGATCAACTCATTCATTATCATCCTTCAAACTCATTCATTCATTCTTTGCGGTCTTTTTGAGATCTTCTCGCTATTGAAATTATTTTGGGATTTTTATCATGAACTGTGACAATATATACCCTGTATCATATTTTTCGTACAATGTTCAATTTTCAGAAGAGCAAGCCAAAATCTATGCAATTTACAGAACTTTAAAACTTTTTAACAAAGTTACTATTTTTTTTCACCATGACTGCCTCGAATTAGTATATGAGATCAAAGTACTGACAACTCAAAATATACAACAAATTGATTACAAATTAAACTATATTGTAACCACAGCAACAATTTGATTGGTTGAAACTATCAAATATGCAGCAGTCATGGTAAAATTAGTTAAATGTGGTCCCTCAATAATTACAGCATATAAACACCTTGTACTTCATATTTCAAGTTTGTATGCTGTAACTACTTGGTATCATAAGGCCATGATTGATAATAATAACTTCATAGCCTTCTTGTAAATAATTTCACAAAAAGTGATATTTTATTAAATGTGATAGAATTTATGTAAATAAATGAATAATATTACTGTAGAACACGTTGAAATAGCTGCATGCAATTTTAGTGGATTTGACTCTTTGCATGAATCAACAAAACCTTAATTTAGCTAAAGTGTCGACTATCTCCCTGTGAGAATATACTTACTGTTGAATTAGCTGCATCTTGAATTAGCGAAATTACAGATTAGCTAAATTAGCTAAAATAACATGCTAGCTAAAAAGATATTTTTTGTTCAAGAACTTCTCTATCGAAAGAAGATTGTGGTAGAACGAACTTAATATGAATGAGCGTATGAGTGAACAAATGCATTTTAGCCAGCCAAGAAACATTTATTCACCCGAGGCCATTGTTCGTGGGCCAGTTATAAATGGTCGGCGTTAGCGAAACCGTGCGATTTTTGCGATGGAACTAATGGAGAACAAACGAAAGCAGAGAAGAATGTGCTACAAACATGATCACCTGAAGTCCCTCAATGTTATCTTGGAATAAAAGCGTTATAGACCCATAATCTGAGTGTTCTCCACATCGTATCTGGTTAGGTTTGATTTGGACATTGTCCGAGATGGGTGGGTACCAGTTTGCTCTTATTGTCGTATCATTGTCTGAACCACCAATGCCTTGATGTGCTTTAACAAATAATAGAGGATCCTGCAAAAAAAATTGAGCAAATAGTATATTTTATTTTGCTTTAGTGTGTGCTTGTGTGAGTAAATGATCTATCCTCAAAATAGGGTATATTTTAATGATCCAGTATATTGAAGATAATGTTTTGTTTATGTGCGCTTCTGTTGAAGATTCATTTCTAATATACCGGTAGGAAATACGGCATTTGTGTTCTAACTGTTTTAGCACTAAATTTTTCCCTGCTCAATTTGGTTAAATTTGTTCAAATTTTCTGTAATTTTCACTGAATTCAATCTCAATTTTAAGGCAAACAAACAAAATGTGACATTACTTTTAGATTTTGATCAAAAATTAGAAATTAGCTCAAAATTTTGTGCAAGAAAAGAGCAGACTATAAATGGAACTATTTTGTGGATCGCCTGAAGTTGACTTTGGCATTCGATGGTTAATTAAAATATAAATGCATTCATAAAATGAGAGATACCAAGCATATTGCCATGACGACCAGGCACTTCTTTTTTACTTACTTCAAGTTTTAATGCTCGAGCCATGACTTCCAAGATTCGATTTCCGAGTTCACTGCATTTATGATACAAACATGACATGGATGATTTAAATTCAGGCAATTCAATGTCTGGTAATAAATGATCCTGAAATATTGAAATAAGACAATTATGTGCTGCAGAAAAACTAACAGGACTGCAATTAAACTTGAAAAACATCCTATTTTCCCCCACACATGTTATGGTAGTACTCACCTCTGTTTCAGAAGCATAGATTTTTGGAACATAATTGTAAAATTCCTTGTAATCTCCGGGTCTTTTCTCTGGATTTAATCTGCAAATAACCAGTCATTGTCATAGTAACAGTTCAGTTTTCAGTGACTGTGTGAAATACAAACAATGCAAAATGTATATTATAGGTAAATTTTGACAGAGTATTTCAGGCACAATAACACGCTACCAACTAAGTAAAGACAACTTTCCTGAAAGATCAGCCGAAGTATGTCTAAAGAATGGTAGAACCAACATAATTACCTAACAATCAGTTATGCTTATAGAAATAAAATTAGTCATGCCATGCATAAGAAATTTCAAATGTTGTTGTTTTGGGTGCTGAAATATCAAATATCAAATAGAGAAACAAATCAATATGATGAACATGTATACTATTATTCCTTGTATTCATACCAATTTAATTAGACAGGAATCATTGAAGATATGGTCGAGAACACACAAAAACAAAATGGCCACCAGTCAACAAGTTTTTATCAAATCACAAAACAAATTGATCAGTAACCAATCAAAAGTGATGTTCTTACCAAGTTTTAATAAAATCAGCCCAGGCATCCCTGGAAACACTCCTCCCCCAGTGTTTCATTATAAAAAAATAAAGGAATGAAGTCAATTGTGGCTACATAGAAGTATTATTCTGACTTAGAGAAATCTTGGGGAGAACAAGAGTGGTTCTTTAGGTACAAACGAGCATCCTAAAGTCTGCAGATATTTATCAATTTCACAAAGAAACCAAAGAAA